AATCGGTGGCATTCCCCACAAATCAGTATGAATCCTTCTAGATATTTTTGTCCTCACTCATATATATCCTAGAAAAAATTTTAGGAGGTCATCTAATATAGAATTGTTTGAAGTAAAGCACGCTTAACTATGAAGTTCTTGATAGAGTCACTAAATAGAAAGGTGCACATTGTTGGTATAGGCCGTGATTTTTAATTTTTTAAAGTCTTTTTTAATTATTCTATCCTTAGAATACCTCTCATTCAGATGTGGTTTTAGTTTATTCATGTACCTCTTCTTTACTCGGGTGTCACAATTAATGGATAAGTATAGTAGGGGATGGGCAACGTGCATCACAAAATGGTAGTAGAGCCACATATCAAATTTAAGTCGCATGGATAAGAATTTTAGGTTGCTGAGACTCACTAACATAGTCACATGAATAAAGCAAAATGCTTAACAAACGTTGTAAGTTATTGTTATCTCAAAATATTTGGTCGATCAAAACTCGATTAAATAAGCAAGATTCTTCAGCAAAAATATTCTTTAAAGAAGGCTCAAATGGATCGTTGTCCAAGAGAAGGAATGTTAAGAGTGATAAATATTGATACAAAACTTGTTATTTCAATGATGCAATATGTGGTTGAGTTTATCTTCAAGATATGATGCGTAATATCTAGCTTGAAGAAAACAGAAAATGGTTGCTATGCTTCACAAATGAATAAGGAATGACTCGTAACTAGCTTTTAGGTGGGTGGATATAAAAAACTAAAGGAACTCGTGTCATATTACTAACAGGGATAATGGATAATGCAGATACTACTGGAAACAAACCTACCGCATTGATGTAACAGTCAAAATTACCAGAAGGACGATGATTGAGTGCAGATAAGGCTTGTGCTATCTATTGTAATTGTTCAAAAGAAAAATTTGGAATGAAATTAGGTGACTGTTCTTTCGTATTTAGCTGAGAAACATCGCCATATTTGCAGATGATCGATATCCATGATTGATGCATTGATTGACTTGTACTACCCTTCCATAATTATTTTTCTGTCGACATCGATCTTCTGTATGTCCCATTTTATCACAAAATTTACCGTGAAACTTAAGGATTCGACACTCATCAATTGTATGACCACTTCTATTGCAGTGTTCACATAATTTGTCCTTAGTGAATTTTGAATATGTTGTCTTCTTCTGCATTGCTTCTATAATTGAAAAATTCTTAGTAGGTTCATGAGTGAGTTACATGACGCTGCATCTCTTCTTGGACAAGTAATGAATAGGTTTGCCTCACATTAGGTAATGGAGTCATCATCAATATGTTAGATTTCACCGTTTTATAAAACTCATTGAGCCCCATGAGTAGTTGCATCAACTTGTCTTCTTTGCTTTAATCAACATGTATTTGACGTTGATTACAAGTAAATGGTGTGCGGTGCGCTTCAAATTCATCCCAGAGTGCTTTGAACTTGGTGAAATATGCTGATAGTGTCATGGTTCCCTGTGACATCATTGCTATTGACTTTTGTATATGAAAAATTGTTTGAGCATTCTTTTGTGAGAATGGATCATGAAGATCAACCCACATTTGATGATTTGTCTTGGTGTGAATAATACCTTCAGTGATATCTATTTCAACTGAATGAGTTAACCAAGATATCATATTGTTGCACTAATTCCAGAATTCAAATTCAGTTGAATTTGCATCTTGAGATGGTTCTTCAATTGTGTCATCAATGAAGTCAATTTTCTTTTTGGCAATAAGAACATGCATAACCAATCTAGTCCAAGCTAATTTGTCCCATTTAATTTGATTGGAACAAGTGAATATCGTGGCTAATAAGAGTAATGAATGAAATAGGGATGTGTGGAATCAATCTCCGACGTTTTGAAGTTAGAATTCATTGATTCCGCCATAAAGGAAATTTTAATATTTAAGATTTTAATTGGCTGATTCCCCTCAAGGCTTTAAAACGCGTTTGCTACGGGAAGGTTTCAACACCCTTATAAAAGGTATTTTGTTCTCCTCCCCAACCAATGTGGGACATCACAATCCACCCCCTTTCGGGATCAAACATCCTCACTGGCACTCGTTTCTCTCTCCAATCGAAGTAGGACCCCACCAAATCCACCCTACTTTGGGGTTAGGGTTCTTATTGGCACACCGCCTCATGTCTATCCCCTTCGAAGAACAGCGAGAAGGCTGACACATCGTCTAGTGTCTGATTTTGATACCCTTTGTAATGACCCGAAATTTTCTAGAGAATATATATCATATATCGAGGAGAATGTAATATATATCGTTAAGGGGAGGAAGTTGGAGAGGGGAAGAAATGATAGAAAATGGAGGTAATTGTGGAGAATAAAGGAAAGTGGGGTGTGTGTATATATATATATACTATGACATAATATTACACTCGGATAGTTATGTATAACTCCATAAGACAGACTCAATTTGGTAGTCACCTTAGACCTCCCATTTATTCGATATACCCGACACACCGTAGTTACATATTTTTCTCACCTCTAGTGGGATGTTGACAGGATTTTAGGCTCAAACTATGTAAAGAATGCAAGAGAATGTAGTAACTCAAATCTCATATTCAAATTTTGAATCTTGATTCAAACCTTTGGTATGAGACATTATGACTGTGTCAGAGGAGATGTAGAAGAATGTTAGGGCAATTAAGGACCGAATATGAATTTTAAATCCTAATTTGAATCCTAGATATAGGTTTTACTAGGTTCATGATTTTAATACCTGCTATGTGACCTTGTGATCCATTTAGAAGAGTGCTTAGGTTCTACTTTTCTGAAATAAATCAAATAAACGGGGCTTCCCAACAAAGGGGGTTTAGAGTTTTGTATTGTGTGTAAAAGGAAGTGGACAACCTAATAGGATCCACTATCCTTAAATTTGTCTTGAGAGGTACGAGGAACCACATAGGTACATAAGTTAGGGCATATGCAATAGACTAATCAAGGCCTCAGTTGTCCGAGCAAAAAAAAAAAATCATACATATGCCTTATGATCAAGTGTAAAGTATCTTAGATGTTGTGCCCATGGACACGATTAAGAGACTATAAGTAGGCTACTTACCAAAAATTGTAATACCAACTCTAGTTCTTTATTATTTTATAGATGTCAAGGACGGAAGCAGTATATAGAAAATGGCCCTAGAGATAGTCTAGGTTTTTAAGTGTCCCTTATGATTTTTAAGATGATGTATGATTTATTTAATGTATGTGCTTCCATGTATATTCGTTCTTCACTATTATGACAATGTACGATTTATACCATGAAAAAGTATTTGTCATATAAGGAATTTAAGACATCATATACGAAAGTATTATGTACATCCACATGAATGTTGTATACTCATAAGATCAAGGATTTACTTCTCCAATCATGTATTGCATAGACGTGTACCTATGATATATTACTTCACGTTCTATTTGATTATGTGGTTTTAGTAGTGTGAGAGTGCACAAGCCCATAGGTAAGCCAAGAGAACTACAATTCACGTACGTGTGCATGTGCCATATATAGAGAACTACAATGCATTTAAATTCATTGAAAATGAAATTAGAGTTAGAGACATCATTTCAAATCTCATTAGATAAAAATATATTTGCATCTGTGTGCATTCTCCATCCAGTAGTAAGGTAAGTTCGTAGTTAGTTTTGTTTTAGATATGACTAGATGATTAATTACACACCCGTAAGATTTACCAAATGTAAAGTAGATTTACCTCACCAAACAAAACTTGAAAGAGTGTGTTTTAAGCTAAACCAAAGCAATTGTTGATTGGTTTGCAAGTCCAATCACGCCCAAAGCAATAATAATGGCGAGATGAAAGTACAATAATCACAATACTAAATATCCAACTCCAATGGTTGTTTTCACCATAGTTGGTTGGTGTTTCTTAAAGTTAGCACAGATTAAGAATACGTCCCATCAGTGAGCTAACTAAACATCGACTTGTTTCTTAATGAGTTGTTCTGTTTTGTATTGTTCTATGATTGAAAGTTAACCCAAAATTTTGAATTAACAAGTTGGATAAGATGTTATAAGCCAAGAACACATTATATTAAAGGCTAATTTGTGGAAATTACCAAAGTTGGTGCATCGTTATCAGCATTATTTGAAGCCCACTTAAGAAACAGATTGTGACAAATCAGCTGCCTTACTCTCCCAATAAACAATATTCAATATGAGATTTAAACATATTTGTATTCCTCTTTAATAATCAAGGCTAAAAGACAATCTGCAGGACACAATGACATGCTTCTAAGAACTTGGTTCGTGAAGATTTGAAGTTTGTTTCTTTTCTTTTCCCCCCGAAGACCATTAACTCGGTCTTTACAAGCTACGCTATCACAACTCAAAAAAAAAAAAAAAGGATTCTAAGTAACAATTCAAACATAAAAAGTAGTGTTTGATAGAGATATCATCCTATACTATAGTAATAGTGTTAGTTGAAATTAGAAAAAAACGAAGCTTTGATTAGGATGAGCCAAAAGAGTTTCTACTTCAACCGAAATAAAATAAGAACGGGAGGATTAAGAAAATGGGCAAACTACTCAATCGACTATAATTGACCAAGACTGTTGCAAGTAGCTTGAGAATCTCAAATCGTCGTATCCGAGTATGCCCATTAAAGCAATAAAGGCTAGCAGGACACGACCAATCATCGTAGTATATGAAAGAGCCTGAAGAATGTCAAGAGGTCACAACTAATATTCAAAAGCAACAATATATGCTGATCGGTGAAAAATCCAGCCATGAAATCATGATAACCTAAAATTTTAAAGTTTATGGGTCTGAGTTTCATGTTGAAGTTTATGATCAAAGTTACGCCACCAGCCGAACATCTGATATTGTTGTTCTGGGGTCGAACAGCCCTATTTGAAGGCTCATAAACCAGAACGAAATAACATCGAAACAACTACATGAAAGAGATGCATCTAGCATCTAACCCATTCGAAACTGTGACAAGTAACAGTTATTGTAATGAAAAGAACCCGTACTCTTTAAATGCAGCTAAGATCAGCAGATTGTTACCGTGCTGAAACAGTCGTATCGTACGAAATCGAAACAGCTTCCAGAAACTGAAGTTACATACGAGCAATGAAGTATGAGAACGAACGTAATGCCAAGAATGTAAATGGTGTTCATATAGTTGAGATGACACAATAATTAGTTCCACAGATGAATTATTGCATACATACACTGTGCATAAAAATCTGATCATGTGATATAAAGATTCTGCTTTAACCAAAGTATATGATCCGCTTCCCAACAAGAATCTCATTTCCTGTAGCTAAGCGGACCAAGAACATCAGTAGAACAGTGTGTAAATATTAAAATGTAATTTATAGTTAATTCATTACCAGAAGAAAAGATTAGTGCTTCCATTTCTTCCAATGACCATCTTCCATGTATGGCTCCAGAAATCCAATGAACTGAAATGATGCAAAAAAAAGTACAGCAAGACTGTAATCTCCCAAGTACTCAACTTTCTCCATGGAAAAACAATCACTCCTCAAACAATTCTTTTTTGTTGTAATGTAGGAGAGGGAGTAAGTATAAGTAGCAAGGGGAGAAGAGGAGAGGGAGTAAGGAGATCGACTCGAAGAGGAGAGGGGTGAAGCAGCTCGACTGATAGGGAGAGGGGCAGAAAACAGTGAAATCAAGTAATATGCAACAAATTGAGTTGGTATATATCAATTACTTCCAGATCTATAAATAAGAGAACGGGGCTCGTATAATAATGATACCTTGTTTCCATCGTTCGACCACCTGGCACCATACCCTTCTGCTATCCTTATCTCAAAGACTATTCCATGTGGTGCAACCATATGAATATTCAACCAGCAACAATGAGCTATCAAGTGAACAATTGTATTCATGGCAAGCCGATTCTTATCCGAATCTGGCGAAAGAGTTTTACAAAGGATGATCAGTCAAGTACAATGTCAAAAAATTTAACATCAAATCAACTTCAATCTTTTCCCTTTCTTATATAGAAGAAAGAAACTGCTCACCGTTTCCATGAAAAGTACCCCAATATTTACTACTAGATCGATGATGATGCTTTGCCAATGCCTTAGCTCCATGAGTTAACTTTATGCCTTTGCCCTTGATAGATAAAAAAGCGAACCTTCGTAACTGGGCGACATAGGAAATTACGAGGATGCAACTAGAGGCAAGGGAACAGCAGGAGAAGCATGATTCAATATTTCCTTTCCAAAAACAAACAAACTTTTCACCAAAAGTAACAATGTAAGGAACTACCTTCAGGAATATACAAAAATTTCCCTCTACCCAATTGAAAAAAATACAAGAATAAGCTCTTGACATCATAGCAAATCATAGCAAATGACCAAAGTTAATTTTCATGTCAACTTTAAAGTTTGCCATAAATGCAAACTTTACGCATACACGAAAAAATGGTAGGACAGAATTCATCGACCGCGCGAGTCTGTCAAATAGTTTGAAAATGCTAAAAGTATTATCAATCATATCTTATTTAAACTTCAGTTTATATGTAACTCGTCATGGAGTACAGAAACTAACCTCAGGTTTATATGGAAGAATAAATGAAGATAAAAGAGCTGATCTTGGTGGGGGAAGAACATCAGGAACCGTTCCTGCGGTATGTGTCAAACCAAGAAGACCTTGAAGGCCTTCATAACTCAGCTCCTGGACTAGAGAATTAGATAATCAATGCAAACTAGATACCATGCAGAAACATGACTCATGTCAGCCAACGAACCGAAAACTTTAATGTTCACAACATATAATTGAAGGACTTCTCGAATGGAATTCGTACCATTTGATCACGTGTACTGATACTACTCTAATATTCCTTATTAAAAAAGTTATGTTAATCTTGTGCTCTCAAGGTCATAAGTCAGTTAACAACTTCATATTATAAACCCTACAAATTTGGTGACTGGTTCGTAGCATTGATGTATAGCTTTGGAATGAAGAATTTAGTTCAAATCAAGATTTAGTCCAAAAACTACAAAATTGTGACTACATGATGAAATTCTTTTAAATGTCGGTATTCGATCATGCATTTTAGCAAGAAAGAAAACTCACTGAGATTATTGCAGCTAAAGAAATGTAAGGCTGAAGTGGCACACTTGAAATACATATAGCAAGAACACCGTCAGCTATTTCTTCCTCTTCTTCGTTCAAAAATTTCAATATTTGCAGACCTGAAAATATGTCCATCATATTCGTTTATAATGCTAATTCACTGTTTCAATTCTTAACAACTTCTCAATTTCAATTTACGGTAGAACTAAATGGACAAGTCAACAATCAGGATTCTGAGAAGAATATAAAATGCATCAAAGGAGCAACTCAAAAGAAGTTGTTTCTTTAATGAATTTCTTCACCCAGTTAACCTGTTATATCTGAGTCAATAAGAATAACTAGCAAACATGTTCTAAGCAGCACTTTTTCTGTTTCTACAAAAACTCGGCGACTGTTCGGTATCTAATCAGCTTCTGTTTTTAAGTTTGGGAAACAATAAATACTAAAAGTATCCTAAATTTGCATTTGGCATGCTTTTTTTCACCAAATATTTCTAGAAACTGTAATCTAGGTAAGTCAATATTTTTAATACTTCATTTTTTTCTATATTTTCTTCATTTTCGAGTTCAATATTTTTAAATTGTACCAAACTGCATAAAATTTTCTCTCTAATCTCCATCTCCCCATCAAAAATAGAATTCATTTCATCACTTAAAGAAAAATAGATCATAGCAAACAAATGTTCTATTTTCTACCTTTTCAAAATTCAATCACAAACACAATTCTCGGTCTTTTAAATATTTTTTTTTTTAAACTCTGCTATCAAATGGAGCTTCATATATCATTTTAAACTCTGCTATCAAATGTATATTCCGATTGAAGAAGTACAATCTGTTTATAGATCATGAACCAAATGGAGCTTCATATATCATTTTAAATCTTATCAAAATTTTAAAAAGTTTGTATTAGATTATAAAGTAGTTCAGTATCCACTATGGAAACAGTTGTATAACAATTTAAATAGTCAAGAAAACGCTGTATATATTTACGAGAATTACCTTCGTCAATGCTTTCAACTCCAGGTATAATGCTTCGAAGATTTTCAGACTCCAACATATCATAAATTGATGCATACCGGCGAACATCCTTCAATACTCAATAGCTTAACAAGTTACAAAGAATAAAGCTAAAGGGAAACAAAATAGAAAGCAAGAACACAAGTTACCGAGATTTCAAATAAAAGACACTTATTGAAGATAATCAGCATTCCTGGTTCAAGTCTGCAGACAGAAAGGAAAAGGGAAAATCAAAACTAGGAATTGGCAATATTAAAAAGAATAAATAATCTAGGACAATTAATGTTACGGTACCATACTAACTTAGCCATATTTAAGGTGAGAGTTGAAATCAAAATTGTATGATAACATGTGATTAAAAATAAATACCTATTGTATTTGGCCAAAGCGTACTTTCCTTCGATTGATTTTTGGCCATCTACAAACAAATTTAGAAGACAATCCATGTCGAAGTAATGAATCAACAAACTAAGAAACTTGGATATACCTATTGCTCTAGACTAATAACATTGGCTTTCAATTAACAATACCTTTTAGCTGCGTAAAGAAAGGTTCATCGACATGAAGTTCAAGGATAAGAGTTTCGAGTATCTGCTGAAATAAAAGAGTGTTTTAATGAAGGATAAAGTCGATCTTATCGGTTACTAACATAAAGGAAATTCCATGTCTCATTTACCTCTACCATTTCAGACCCCTTATCCATAATCAGCTTCAGCCATTTTTCCTCTTTCTGCTTTAAAGAACTTTCTCCATTCGTCATCAACATTCTCTTATACATTGGACAGAAGGAGCCATAACAGATGGATTCCCACAAAGCTGATGATAAACGCTTGTATAAAGGATATGGAGGAACTCCTTCATTAAAAAGAACCATACAATTTTATAGTGGTGCTCTGGAGATAAATCAAAAAGTCATCCTAACGAGTTATTGACAATATGAACAGGCCATGAAATATGTTTTTTTAAGTAAGCGTCTCCATTCTCCTCCATCAATCCCATCCCCACCTGAATAGGGAAAGTAGGAGGGAGCTCAATTCGTTCGTAGAACCGTAGGATTTTCTTTTGCACAAATCATTAAAGAACAGACATTATCAACATCTTCAACTTTTAAAACTGGTTCGGACTGGATTAAAAAACATATTTGGTCCCTGTACTTCCATTGAAGCAATGATCTGCTCCATAAACTTTTGTATCATCCCCTATAGTTTAAAATTTGTACAATTAAAACCCTTATTTGAAAAAATCCATCTAGATGAAATACTGACCTTCAATACGTAGCAATTAAAACACGCATAGTCCTTGATCGATTTCTTCATCTACATTTGGAAAACAATCCTTTTGCACCTTAGTGGGATTTTCTAGAACAGGAACTAATCGTTATTAATCTTAAACCAAAACGACCAATACGTTATTACATAATTTAAACTACATGGGATAAATGAAGACGAGTTACTAACTTAAAACTCTTGTTGGTGGGATGGTTCATAAGCATAATGCAACAAGTGAGCCCGACATTGAGTTATAAAAAGCTTCTCAACGATCTTTCTTCGCTAATTTCTTCATAAAACCACACAAATCTTGCAATAGCAATTGGAGGGAAAACTACACAAGCGTACATTTCGCATTTCAAGTTTGAATTAAGCAAAAGAACCCACGGTGTTTCCAGAAAAGATCATACTAATCCACATTCTTCTCAACGTTTTAGCAAATCAAACAGAGAATATACTGAAAATAAACAGCGAGTTCTGTATTTTTACCAGCTGTGGAGTCTGGTAACAGATTGGAAGAAGGATCATGTTTAAGGAGACCAGCGCAGAAGGTACTGGAGAGGCCCAAATCAAAGTCTAGGGTTCCGTTAATGGAAGACTGAAGAACGAACTTGAGCAACTCCTGCACGCAGTCCTCGACCTTGATCATAATCAGAGAGCCTACAGGACAAGGTGAGGAGGGCTCCAATATATAGATTATCCAACAGGAGGTGCCAACAGCTCGGCCCACAATGATCTTTATACTCGAGGCTCTACTATTTTTCATAATGACCACATCAATCCGTGATAGCGACAAAGGGAATATAGATTTTAAGGAAATCAGGTGACATGATAGTTGAATCCCGATATCTTAGAGATTATCAAAAGTATAATCGACCCTCCTTTGATGGTGGCTAGAGGCGATTGATACAGCCTTCCAATCGATGAATTGTTAAGATGCATATCATGTGGATTATTTCACATACATGCTCAAAGGCAAGGAACATGACCTTAATTTAAAGAGCTATTTTGTCTAAAAATGATATCCTATGGTCACGAGATATAAGAATCAAAATAACCAGTTGATAATTCTAAAAGTTTGTTGATATCGAGAAGAAGTAGAAATATCAACTTATTTTAGATATATGAGGTGCCTCAAGTCTTTTCACATACGTCATTGCTGTGTAAGTAGCAACCCTGATGGATATGTATAGACAAACAAGTAAACGGTCTGAGACTATCCAAATTTCTTTAAGATAGAGGAGGAAGTTGTAAAGAAATTTGTCTCGATTTGATGGGTGATCACGAGGGCAATTAGGTAATTAGGTAAGCACAATCAAGACATGCCATTATGCCCAAAATGCAACTGCAAACTAGGCACGGGAGCATGTTATGGATGTGGCAAACTAGGCCACCCGATTGCACATTACCCACACGACCAAGAAGGCTTATGATCCGTAGGTAGTTGTTATGGTGCACTATCTATACTTAATGGACAGTAAACATTAGGAATTTATTCTTTAATTTCTTCATCAAACGATCCGATTTTAAAGCTTATTTGGAATTATGATGGGGGCAGACTCAACGAGATAAAAATTTGATAAAAAATATAGCGTTTTAAAAATAAAGGAATTAAAAGAGAGTTTAAATCATAAAGCAAAGTATATTATTCAATATCCAAAATAAAGTTTATGCCATAAAAACCATGAATTCTCATAAAAAAAAATTATTATAGGCATTTTGATCATTTTTCATCTACATCTTTACCCTAAACATATTTTTAATACTTTTAAAATAATTTATTATAAATGAGTCTAATATAAAATTTATCATAAAATCTTAATAGGGGTATTTAGGTCTTTTTCCACCCAAATCTTGCTTCCATTACCTTGAAACCTTGTATAGTCATTCATATCCTAAAAAATAGACATAAGTTCATTTAGGCCATGAAATAACTTGGGAACATATTACGGGTATTTTGGTCATTTTATCTATGTTCTTGGTTTAAGCCCTAAACATGTTCGTATGTCTATCAAACTTCAAATAAGTTCTTGTTATGTGATATTAGACCCTCCATTAAAATTTCATAAGCAATTGACAACTCTCCAAAACTAGATTTATTACGAAGCTTTTGTTGTAGTTAATTTTGCACTCATACTCACCATTTTCTCATTAGTTGTTCGATTTATTATAATTAGTAAGCATGAAACAGTTCATTGTGGTTCAACGTGAAAAGAAGATCAATTTGCATAATTGAGCCTAATTGTACATTTAATTGAATTATTTTATAAAATTTTCAAAACATTTATGTGAACCATAATGCTGTACGAAATCTAGAAACAATCTTGTTAGCTATGATATGTCGGAAAAAAAAAAAATTGATAGATAAGTTGGTCAAAATAATGGATTGTCTTTGGGAGGCCGAGCCCAATTATAAGGAGGTAAGGACCCAAAGGACATTGCTAAAAATGAAAAAGGGCACTCTTTCACTCTACCTTTCAGTTTTCCTCGATAAACCGCTCATGGATTCCCAAACCAAACGAACCTGGGGAGGTACGAGCCTTTACCCAACCCAACAAACAAGGTTGATACCATTGGTCTGGATGCGCTCTCTCAGTTATCTAATATTGTCTTTGAAGAGATTTTTTTTGCGCTGAAGCCATTTGAAAAGAAATTTTTTTAGGAATGACATGAAAATTATAATCCAAATCAACAAGCCACGTCATTGACTACCCAATTAGAAACTTTCTACATGGACGACTTACTTCTTTTTAGTACTAAATGAAGTATAGGAATGTTCTAGAAATTACGAACCTTAGAAATTATATATTTAATGTTGAGAACCAAGTAAAATACTACACCATGTTCATGACTCGGACTAAAGTCTTTAAACTCAGAAACTCAAGCTAACTCCTAAAACCTCCCACGGTACATCATGTTCATGACTCAGACTATGCTGCTTGGAATATATGAAGCCTTGAGAATATGTATTCATACTATGCCGCTTGGAACATATGAAGTCTTGGACATAGGTATTCTAGTTATGTCATAGAACAAGCCGTGGATGCAAGTTTTTAGACTACGCTGCTTGAAACGTATGAAGCCTTGAGGTAGGTATTCAAATTATGCAGCTTGGAACGTATGAAGCCTTGGCCATAAGTATTCAGGCTGTATCACAAGGCAAGCTCTGGATGCAGAATCAGACTACATCGCTTGGAACGTAAGAAGCTTTGGACGTAGGTTTTCAAACTACGTTGCTTGAAACACATGAAGCCTTGGACATAGGTTCAAACTGTGTTGCTTGTAACATACGAAGCCTTGGACACAAGTGTTGTCTTTTGACAATTGGTGAGAGGAAATGATTGAGATACACGATGAGAGGAAATAGTTTGGATAGAGAGAAGAAATTTATTGGAAGAAAATGAAAAAACACACTGCTTAAAAAGGTCAACTAAATCTTTGTCACTTCCCTACAAATGGTCACCTAACAAAATCCATTCGAAGAGTTTATCAAATAGTCAAACGAAAATATTGAATTAACTGAGTAAAACGTGTAAACACTAAATAAGGAAACCTCAGGCTTTTATCTAACAATAGGTTGTCAGGTTCATAACTAGTACCGTAAATCATAGGGAGAATCCGAACGAACCAAGCAAAACAAGAACTTAGAAAATAACCAAGAACAAGACAACGTTCAAAGACTAGAACAAAGATCAAGATCCAAGTTTTGAAAATAAAAACCCAAAATCATAGTACTAAAGTTCTTAAGTATGAACCAAAGTTGAGGCCTCAAATCATGATAAGAACTTACATGTCAAGAACAAAACTGAAGGCCTAAATACATTAACAAGAATCCAAATAGGAAAAGGAATATGATACCCTAGCATATTAAGATCAGGATTAAGAGTCTACAAATAGACGGGGTACTGAGTCTTTGTAATCACTCAATGTTTTCCATATTTCTCAGGTAAATAAGGAACTGGTCGAAGTCGGGAGCGGACTCAGGTGTCATAGACATGCCTCAATCGTCGTCCTCAACCCTTTTTTGTTTTAAATGTTCTGTGTCCGTTCCTTAATTTTTTTATATAATAATGTATGAACTTTATTGTATAATGTATATTATGTTTTAAATTCCATTTGTTTTATTTTATTTTATTTCGCAAAACAATTTGCTCATCTTTTTAGAGTCATCGAGCCACGATGTATACAAAGGCAAAGGCTAAAGAGCTCTCCATGTGCCTTATGTATCGTCTGTTTTTCTTAATTTCACCTTATTTGCTAGGTATTCTTTCTCACTTCTCAATTCGACTGCTTGACATTACTCCATGCTCTCTCTTTTTGGTGTTTTGGTGTCTAAAGAGATCTATTTTGTAACTCAGTTGCTAATTGATTTACTTTAACTTCCAAATTTCGCAACGATTCTTGTTGACTTTGTAACACAACATCATTTTGAGTTATATATTTTTTTATTAGGCTCTCAAGCGATGTTCTCGGTATGTGTTGAGCTTAGCTAATTCTTTTCCCTTCGGTGTTGGCCTATTGAGGACCATATGCTAATTGATTTTGTAATCCAAAACCTAGAGGGTAATTTATTGATATGACATTTGTGGGTTGTAGGAGTCTTATCCCTTCCATGAGAAGTTTGGATGGTTTCTCCACCCCGGATTATAAGTTGTTTGAGAAGGGATTATTTTTCGGGTTGCCTTGACTAGCTTGATTCCCCACATAAAAAATTGAGGCTGGATTGCTTGGACATTAATCAAAAGTGTGTTCGTTCTCCACAATATACACAAGATTCAGTTGTTGTCTGAATCATTACAACAAAAGTTTTGACCGGTGCTTTAGTCCTTGAGCCTTTATCTCAATTCTAGGTTTTGTAGGATATTAGTCATCGAAGCTAATTGAGCGTTGATAGAGGTCAAAAACATCAACTTCAAGTACTCCTCGGACCTTCTTTCCTGGATTCACATCCGACAATTGTTAGATATTATTCTCTCTAAAATCTCATATGCTTCTTTGTATGTCTTTGACAAAATAGCTCCATTGGCAGAAGCATCACGTTTTGTTTAGTAGCAATATTCAATCCATTGTACAAGGTCTCCATTTAGATACAATGGGGTAGTCCATGGTGAGACACTTTTATAAGCATCTTCTTGAATCTTTCCCAAGTTTCACCCTATATCTTATCTCATTTCTGAAACGTACATTTCTAGTGAGTGGAAAACACTTTATAAAAAATTAATTTGCTAAACTATTCCCACGAATCAATTGTTCTCGGTGCTAAAGTATTCAACCATGATTTAGCACAATCTCTCAAAGAATAAGGGAATGAGCTTAATCTAATCACATCTCTATCCATTTCTTGGAATCGAAATGAGTCACTAACTCCCAAAAATGACTTTAGATGTAGGTGAGGATCTTCTGACGATAGTCCATGAAATTGACCAATGGTTTGTAATATTTGAAACATCACAGAATTTAGCTCTTCCACAGCTGGATGAGCATATGCTCGGATTGCTCTTTCTCTGTCATCTGCTAAATGAATAGCATTAACAGTAATTCTTTCTTGATTAGCCAACACTGATGGATTTTCAAAAACCCGATTCAGTTAAGCTCCAAGTTCTATTTGCTGTATATATTTTTGCTCCAACTCACGAAAATCTACACAAGTAAAATAGCCAAATTAGGTTCCCTCGCAATGGCGCCAAAAACTTAATCACTTATGGATGTATATAATAAAATGATGTAATATTCACGAGAATAAAGTGCGCAAGTATACACTAGCACAAGTAACCAGTAATAAGTAAATTATTGATTCTCCATAGAACCTATCTTTTTGTTACTTTTATTTCTGAAAAATTAGGTATTATTGTGTTGTGATTTTAAACTAATTAAACAAAATTAATGCATAGTGTCACTACTGTCGGAAAAACACAAAATAACGAGAAAATCAACAATGATGAAGAAAGTTCCGCTAACAGAGATTAAATAGATGAATGGTTGAGATTCAGGGTGAATTTTAGTTACTTTTAATGGATTCTCAAGCCCACTCCCGAGAGTCATGGGTGATTACTTTCATAATCGTTTTTAAGTATTATTTCCAATCTTTCTATATGTTCAAGTATCTTTGCAATAGAACTAGAGTATTAAAGACAATTTCATTGCTCTAGAAAGAACAACGGTATATATAAAGTAGCTAATTAAACACAGATGTAAATCATTAGCAACTCTTTAATAAACTAAATCACACCATAATATACTTCAACTACATTAAATTCTCTCGTCTCCCATATAAAATTTAACTCTTCATACAAATTAAATTAAGTAGAGAAACCCAGATCTCAATCATATAAAATTGATAGAATAAAAAACGAGAGTGAAGAATTAGAGAGTTATCAACGTTTGTTATTGTTCTTCAATGGAAGTTCCCTTCCTTTCAGATCTCACGTTCATCTCTTCAATTATGTCTGATTGAAGTCGAACAATAACGAATTTAATCTAATCTTATGAAATCGAAATTAGAGGGAGAATCAGACAAAAGTTGTATAATTGCTCTTGTTAATTGAATAATTGGTTTGTAAGGGTGTACATTGTCCGGGTTGAGTTGGGTTAAGGGATTTTTTTTACTCAACCTAAAAGTTCGGGTTAGTTGGATGGGTAACCCAACTCAACCACAAACTTTTCACAACCCAACCCAACCCAACCCAACCCTTAAGTTCCGGTTAGATTGATCCGGGTTGTGAAGTTGTTAGGTTAAATGTACACCTCTAATTGGGCACGTGATCTTTATATTGGATCATAAAATCCAATAATCCAACAGATTATTGACACGTGTTTCCATCTCTTAAAGAAAAGGACACACGAGGGAAGTACACGTCTTCTTTTCAATTCTTAATTCTAAAATACCCATATCGTTTGGCAGTCCCCACCTTCTTTTGGAATAAAATCATTTAAAGAAACGAATATATAATTTAATTCAATTATTAAATTATAAAATTACTTATTTTGGAATAAAATCATTTATTAAATTATTAAATTATTAAATTATATAAGTAGTGGTCCCCTCTCATAATCTTATTCAATTATTGGAATGGCCTACTCATTTCTGTCCTAACAAATGGTATATATAAATAATTATATAATTTAATAACTTAAAAAAGAACGGATTTAGGGTTTACGGCTCTCAACCACTGCCCTATCTCGACTAACAATATCATTTAACGAACAAAGAAAATATAAAGGGATGGTACACAAATACTCGATACGTAATAGGTATAAACAGACTTTTTTTCGGTGCTCTAGCTAGTTCAGGCCTAACGACTACTCATATTTGAGTATCTAAGGACACTTCGAAATTTCGAGTAGATCTCTAATTTGAAACTTACTCTTAGGAGTTTGTACAGATTGTATAACATTTATGTTCTTTTACTCAAGTAGCTTGTGAATGATCGACATCTTGGATTGAGGTACTACTTTACAATGGTTAGGTGGGACAGCACGATGTCCATTGTTTGAGTTCCCCTTTCTCCTGTCGCTCTAAGCCGTGTATTGTTGCGAATTTTGATTTTTCTTCCTCCTTCCCTACACAACCTTAAGATTTCTTTTTTTTTTACTTAGTAATCTGGTTTAGGGCTCTATAGACGTTCGTAAGGAAAGAGTAAATATACCATTTTGCCCCTCAGGTTGACTTTGACCATATTTTCCTAATTTTTCACTATTTGTTTTTATTTTTTCTCCCGTTCTTAAAGTTTTTAAAGCATTTTTTTCTCTCTAGCTCAACTTGAAATTAAGCCTCTGAATCCTTCGATCAAATTTAAAAAAAAAAAACAACTTGAAAATTAGAGAAAAAATCGAAAAAATTACGTAACTATCGAGTTTGGGTCGTTAAAAAAAACTTGAAGAGGTCATCTAATCTTGTAATATTTGAACTTACAATATTATTGTTCGGTATGATATTTCTAACACCATCGATAGTCGTGGCATCGAGCCATGCCACGACACTATTAAATTATTGGGTTTGAATAATTGGAAAGCGACAATTTTCGAACTATTATTGCTCACTCATTTGATGACTTCATATTGCCATTATTTTTGCCCATATCTTTCTAGTTGTTCTTCTTTGTCTGGTTGCCCCTCCCCTAAATCATAGAGCTTTACAAAGTATCTCTTCACGCAAGGCCCACTTCAAGATATCCTAACCAATTATTAAGCGTACAGAAGTTGGTGATCTATAAAAAGGACGACAACCTTCTTCAACGAAACAAAAGAATCAGTACTGTTAATCTTGGGTTCACCACACTCTATTGAAGCCATGTATGGATCCGATGATGAAAGCCAAGACACCGTGCCCAAATACTTCACTGTCAAATCGAAGTCGAATGGTCGATATCTTCGTTATATTAACAACGATAAGATCATGCATGGATTTCTCAAATTCTCTGGAACTCATGTGGTGAATCCATTTGCTAAGTTTGAGGTCGAAAAAGCTAAGGAGAAATCCAATAAGGGTCTCGTGCATATCAGGTGTGCTGCTTTTGTTAGTTTAACGTCGATTTAATTTCTCAGCTTTTACTTTGCTAGAAATATTTATTTATTATTTTGAAGGTGTTGTTACAACAATAAATATTGTGTTCGTTGGTCGGGTAAATCCAAGTACATCGTTGCAACGGCGAACGAACCTAATGAAGACAAATCAAAATTCTCATCGACGTTGTTCGAGCCCATCAAAGACCACGATCGAAAGGCCTTTCGTTTCAAACACGTGCAACTTGGCCAATATCTTCAGCTACGACAACACTTAAGCAGCCAATTCCAAGACGCCTTGTTCGCTGGCAGCTCCGGATTCGAACATGACGAGTCGGATCTGTTTCAAGTGGTTGATTGGTCCACTCTCTTCATACTTCCAAAGCATGTGGCGTTCAAGGGCAACAATGGTCATTATCTCCAAGTCCATTCTTCTGGGACTAAATATTTGGAGTTTTCAGGATCCGATGTGGGAGATCCAAGGGTGGGGAACCAAATCTTCACCACGGCTGATGGACATGTGAGGATTAAAAATGACTATTTGGGTAAATTTTGGATTCGTGATCCTAATTGGATTCATGCAAAAGCCACTGAAACTGATTTTGACGATCCGAACACGCTGTTTTGGCCCGTTCGACTTGGTGATGGCCATGGCGTAGCGCTTCGCAATCGAGGAAACGACCGATTCTGCAAGAGGCTGACTACGGAGGGGAAGGATAATTGTTTGAATGCTGCTGAAACCACCATTGGGGCTGAGGCAAAGCTCGAGATTGAAGAACTTGTCATTTCGAGGGCGATTTACGATGTGAATTTTCGAGCTTTAGATGCTCGATATTATGACGAGACGCCCATGACAATGATATCTAAAGAGGTTAATTCAATAACTTTAGTTTATAGGTTATGGTTATATTATTTAATAGTTATTTATTTATATTTATAGTGAGTTTCCACGTCGGTTGGAGAGAAGAATGAAATATTCTATAAGGGTTTGGAAATCTCTCTTCACCAGACACGTTTTAAAACCTTGAGGGGAAACCCAAAAGGATAATATCTAAGAGGTGGATTTAGGCTCTTACAAATCGTATCAAAGTCAAACACTGGGTAATATGTCAGCAAAGACGTTGTGTCCCAAAGGGGGTGGATTGGGAGGTCCCACATCGATTTGAGAAGGAAACAAGTGCCACCGAGGACGCTGAGCCCTGTAGATTATGAGATCCCATATCGGTTGGAGAGAAGAATGAAACATTAAGTCACCCTATATGATTAAAAAGTGATTAGACAGACATTAAAACATGGAACATAGACTTTGATTCTATACCACATTAGTTTTAACAAACAAATGTAATCATTTCTTCATATTGTCAACAGATGGTGAACAAGAACAGCGAACCGGAGTTGCAAAAGCTGAAGCTTCGGTACGAAGATTCGAAGTCGTCAACATGGTCAAACTCGGTCGGGACGAAGTTAGGGATGAAAATATCAATTGAAGCAGGGAATCCAGAGATTACGAGTCAAGAAGTGTCAATTTCTGCTGAGTTCAAAAGAGAAGTAACATGGGGAGAAACTACAGAAACTGTGTCTCGAAGGGAGGTGGAACATCAAGTCACAGTGCCACCAAACTGTCGGGTGAAGGCCCAAGTGTTGGCCACTAAAGGGTTTTGTGACATCCCTTACTCGTACACTCAGAGAGATGTTCTTACCAATGGAAAAGTCGTAATTCAACACTTTGATGATGGGATTTACATTGGAAGCAATTGCTATAACTACACCTTTGTGACTGATCAAGAAGCTCTGTGATTGAAAGGATGTGGCAATGGAATTGAATCCTTATCAAGTCTTCTTAGTATTAATGTACTAAATAATGCTGCCATTTTTGCAGCTTTGTTTTTGTTTGTTTTAGTGTGTTTGATAAACACTGTTTTGAGGCCAATAAAAGTGATGCATGTCCTCATTTTAATTACATTGGGTTTGTTCTATGAAATGTAATGTTTGCTTTCCATTCTCATCTTCAATGGTTTGCCTTCATCTCCTCTCTTATCCTTTATCCCTCTCGTTTATAAGCTGAGCGTCAGATTTGAACGAACGTGAATCTTGAATTTGAAAATTCAAAGAGAGGTCGAGAAACACTTTTTGTGAAGATGTCAGTAACTTAAAGATGGGAAGGTACATATTATGTGCAAAGTTTGCCTGATAACAAGTTTCCAAAGGAAATGATAATCTAATTCAACATGTTTGGTTCAATTGTGAGAAACGGGATTAGAGCTAAAAAAAATTAGCATTTTTGTTGTCATATAAGAGTAAGGACTGCTGTGAAATAAGGATCTTGAGGTGATGTCATGCAAAAGATGCATAACCCAAAGAAGTTCACTAGCAGTCATGACAAGAGCATGATACTCAGATTCACAGCTGGAGCATGAGACAGTAGACTCTTTTTGGCATTCCGTGAAACGATATTGTTACCAAGATAAATAGAATAGCCAGATGTAGAACGACGAGTATCGCGACAACCAACCCAATTAGCATTCGAATAAGTCACTAGCGCACTAGGAATAATGGATGGACTAAAGTTAAGACCAAAGTGGAGTGCTCACATAGCAAAGAATACGTTTGATAGCAAGAAAGTGATCTGCAGTAGGGGCATATAAAAATTAACTGACAGAGTTGACAGCAAGAGAAAGCACAACACAGACAGTAGTAGCTTTGACAACCAGACTAAAAGTGTCAATGTAGTCGAGACCAAGAACTTAAGTATAATCTTTAGCAACAAGACGAGTCTTGAAATGTTCAATACTATGACGAAACACTCATTTAGAGCCTACGATGTTGGTGTTGACAGTGCGAGGGACCAAAGTCCAAGTGTCATTTTGTTGTAAAGCTCAAATTTCTTCGTCCATGACAGCAACCCAAACAGGATTTTTAGTAGCAGATTTGAATCGTCTTAGCTAAGTGGATGCAAGAAGAGCATAAATAAGTCCAGATGAGCTTAAAATACCAAGATTTGCTAGATGACGAGTCTTAAGTATACCATCTTTGGCTCGTGTGATCATAGGATGAGAGCCCAAAGAAGAAGAGAAATCAACAGCAAGTTCAATAGAGGGTGGATTAGAAGTCGAGGGTGGCAAAGAGAAACCTGCAAGATAAGTATTAACCTGCAGAGACTCATCCATAGGATCAAAACAAATATCACACGGAGATGAGCTGGATTGAGGAATGTGCGATGAAGAAGTGGTAGGGGGTGATGAATCAATAAGGTAAAGATACGGTTCCAAGAAATTTGAAATATGAAGAGAGGAAAGAGGTTGGGCCTGAGAGCTAGGGACGTGGGATCAACCAAAGGTAGGAAAATTGTGATATGACGGAGAGTAGTCAGAGAGGAGTTCAAAGGCTACTTCCCTCCAAGAAGTGGAGTAGGCAACAGGTTGATAATATAAGTTGCAGTGTTGAAGGTGTCAACCCAAGAAGAAAAGAAATATGGAGGGAAAGAGAAGGGTCAAGTCAGTCTCAGTCACATGTGCTAGTAAATTCGACGTACGTAAGTGAGTTTTGAAACAAGTGCTAGTAAATTCGACACCTTTGAAAACCCTTGATACGAGCATAATGTTGATTTTCGAATTGAATATAAATATCAAATAAATCATATTTAAATTTTAAAGGGTAAAACCAAGAATCGAGAATAATCATCAATAAAAATAACATAATAAAGAAAACTCGAATTGGATTTGACGAGGAAAGAATCCCAAAGATCATAATGAAAAAGATATAACATATGAGACGACCTACATTCATTGCGGGAATAAAACAATCGATGACTTTTCGCAAGCTGACAAATACTATATAGTGATGAAGTAACCTAAACATTTGCAAACCCGACATTTAAAACTTGCTTGAAATACTCTTTCAACGCAACTCGAGTAAAACAAAGCATGTCAAATGTAATTTTACCGTAAACAAAGTCCATAAAACATCAAACGTTGAAGCTATTATTAAAACATAAAAATCAAACTCATCTCTTCAATTGTTTCATAATCCTAGTTGTCACTCTCCATCACACCTTACATTTTCTTGTCTTAGAAAAAGATATATTTAAATGGTGAGCATTGAAAATTCTCATTAACACTCCACTGTTGAAATATCTAATTTTCTTTTCAGCGTCACTCATGTAACACTCGATCTAACACTCATGTAACACTCGAGTTCCAATCAGAATTATTTTTCTCAATTTTTTTTTTTTTTTTTTTTTGTAAGTTTGAACTTTTAGGATTTTATTGAGGGTCGTAGAGACCAAATTTCACGATGTTGTAAAGAGAAAAACGCTTAAACTAATCTCTGATCTTAATACGTAAATCCCAAGTAAAATGTCGTTTTTAGGTCCTTTAAATGTGGTTCTTAGCCTAATCTCTTCGTATTCCCTTAATTATGAGTAATCATAACTTTCTAGATCAATTCTAAGCGATCCCTACAGGTAATTCTTGAGAAAGGATTGAAATGGCTACTTGTTCGTTTACGTTCGAGTCTCGTAGGCACTCAAATTTCTCCAAAATCTCTTGTGCATGACCTAAGGGTGTCAACAATAGGGAACAAACAAATATTAGAGGGTGAATCCATCCATAGGTTCAATAAGCAATTGAATCATTAAGATCAGTTTGAATGATGCGGTCAGTTCAAGTGAACCAGCTATGTCATCATTTTCGGCCTCTTTCTAGTAGCCTTAAAACTGCAATCTTGTAGATGGTGAATGATACGAAATGTATCTTAATCCTATCATAGATTATTTAGATTTAAGAAGGTTTTATTGTCTTTTTTAAGTTTTAGATAATTGTCTTTAAATTGTTGGTTACAACCTTTCGATTAATCTACGATATTATAAGTTCTATTTATGTTATTGCTTTGTATCTATTCTAGCTTTGTCTAAGCTTTTACTTTGTAAATTCTTGTGTTTAAACTTGCATACTAGAATCACTCAAATTGTATTTTGACCAAACCTCTTGTGGAGTAATTCAAATCACGAGTTTAGAAACGAGTTTTCTTATTATTAATCTGGATCATTACCGGGTTGATTGCCATTAGATGTTTTTGTCAACTAGAGTATTAAAAAGCTCAGTAAGTCGTTAATTTCACCTAAGAAATTTTCGGTATCTGTTCGATCGTCCAGGAACTTTCTCCAATCATAGCCACCTTAGGCTATCAATCAAATTCCAACCGTCTACATCGCCCTAAATTCAAGCTAAACGTGTTAGGCCTTTATAATATGACAAATTCAGTTAAACCCAAAATATTTTTATATTTTTAGATTAATTCATGATCTAATTCAACCGGTATAGGTTTCTTTTTAAGATGAGTTAAATTGATCAAATTTTTTGAGTCATGAACATCTCTACCAAATGGACTTTTATATATAGTTTAACTCACTCTATAAAATATTTCTTCTCGAAGCATATTATACATCATGATTCATATCAATACGAGGCTCGAAATTTTTTTAGCAAACACTACATTTGTTACATCAAGTGTTGGAAATGCTAAAAAAAACACTTTCAATTAATCAAAATTCAGGGTGAAAGTATCTTACAATGTAATTCAATAGTTCAGTTTGTTTGGTTGAGCTGAATAATGGCATCAAAAAAGAACTTTTCATCTGGTTCAAATTGGTCTTCAAGATCCTCATAGCTTTGTTCTATTCTCAAGTCTTTGCCCACTTTTAGAGCTTCCTGCTTCATTGGTAAAAAAGAGAAAAACACTAAGATGAACAGCACTTCAAACGTTAAGCAAATGAATTCACTTCTAGCTTTTTTATAATGGGAAAAGTTCTATTCTATTATATTCCAGTCATGTCACAGTTCTAGTCACATTGTATAATAGCATTGATATATGATATCGTTTCGGTCCAGTTCCTATTTCGATATGAAAATCTAAAAAAGCTATCATAGAATAATCAATCAATTAACATAGAAAAGAGAAGAAGAGGATCTTTTTAATTACTTTTAGATCCTCTATACTACCTCTATCGATGAGGCTCAACTCTACTATGGATGAAGATGATCAATCTGATCATTAGGACAAGACGTCCATATTTGTAACGGTCCAAGCCCACCGTTAGTAGATAAGTCCTCTTTGAACTTTCCCTTTTAGGTTTCCCCTCAAGGTATTTAAAACGCGTCTGCTAGGGAGAGGTTTCCACACTCTTATAAAGAAGGTTTCACTCTCCTCCCCAACCGATATGGGATCTCATAATCCACCCCTCTTCGGGGCCCAACGTCTTTGCTGGCACACCGCCTCGTGTCCATCCCCCTTTGGAGCTCAGCCTCCTCGTTGGCAATCCCCTGGTATCTGGTTCTGATACCATTTGTAACGGCTCAAGCCCACCACTAGCAGATATTGCCCTCTTTGGGTTTTCCTTTCGGGCTTCCCCTCAAGGTTTTTAAAACGCGTCTGCTAGGGAGAGGTTTCCACACTCTTACAAAGAATGTTTCGTTCTCCTCTCCAACTGACGTGGGATCTTACAATATTTATAGATGCACAGTTAATATCTACCATGAAGGGAAAACATTTTCACTATTTTAACGTAGATTGCAGAAGGCTCCACTCCGTATGCTAAAACAATTTCTAGACTTCGAGTTATTAGTTCATCATATATAACAGGGCAAAACATATAAATGGATTCGAATTGCCTAAGATTTTAAGATTAAGACAACCCCAGCTCAAAACCAGAATATGAAAATGGCAATTACATCTTTACCTTTTCCACATATGCAGCAACAGTAGAGTTGATAACTTCCTTGATAACCTGTTTGTACACCTTCGAAGGTCCGAGTATCTCTAATAGAATTTCCCGAGGTATCTGTCGATAACAAATGATGAACTTATCATTATTCAGACATAGTCAATAGTTGCTTATTGAAAACCAAGAGATTGAAAGGAAAGAAAACTTACATTCGGCGTCTTTCCTGACATTCAATGAAG